ACCCCCCACCCTTCAGACCCCCCTCATCTCTTTTTTGGGTTGAGATGTGGCCAGCTGGGGGGGGGCCACATGCCACCACCCCCTTCAGACCCCACTAGCTTCTTTTTTTATAAGATTTATTTTTTCTTTAAAACATCCATTTTTTGTACAAATGACCAAACTTAAAAAAAAAAAAAAAAAAAAAGTAAGCAGCAAGCTGGGCAGAGACCCCAGTCATCAGGGCCCTCAGGCCTCCCCTCCTCCTCCGCACGCTCTACTGCCTCCCACAGCTCCTGTCCCCCACCTCCCACAGAGGGGAAGGAACCCAGAGGCCTCCCCCGTCCCCACCTACAACCCCACACAGAGGGAAGAAAATCCAGGTGTCCGGGCCAATGCACTCAGGCTACTCGGGGCAGGTCCAAGTCCTCTGTAAGGGGGTGGGGGGGGAAGTCAGTCCATAGGCCAAATCCCTGGTAAGCATAAAGCTACTGGGGACTGGGCCTTGCAAGGCCCCCCCACTATCCCTCTCCCCACCACTATGGGAGCCAATAGCCACCAGCACTTGCCCATGGCGGGGGCGATGCAGGGGGGGCGAGGGCCAGCGGGGTCCAGGCGCTCACACCACCAGGCTCTCACGGCTCAGGGCCTGATTCTGCAGGGGAAACAAAGCAGGGGTGGGGGGTTACTGGGTGCCAACATGTGCCCAGCTCTGGGGTTGAGCAGCTGAACATAATGATGCCCAGAGATGGGTGCCGAGACTGGCACCCCCTCACAGCTGACCCCCCCCTCCCCCGCAGGACACATTCAGACCCCCCCCCCCGATGCGCCCAGCTCTGAGGCCAAGCAGCCGCATAGAACGCCCCCCCTCTGGCTCCTTACCCGCCTCAGCCGGCGCTCAGCCCGGCCCCGGGAGGCGCTGGCTGACTCTGTCTCACTGTAGGGGGGGGGCGGGGGAGGGAGGGAGCGCCCACTTGACCCGCTGTCGCCGTCATCCTGAGCCTTGCGCCGCAGCACCCCCCGCAGGAGCTCTGTGTCGTAGCCCTGCCCCTTGGACTCCCATGGGTTGGCCCGACTCCGGGGATCAGGCTCCCACAGGTCGTCTCGGCTGCGGCTCCGGCGCCCACGGCGCTCCTCCTCCCGCCAGTGGGGGGAGCCATTCTCACGGGGGCGGCCCCGGCCCTGCCTCTCGGGTACCGGGGACCAATCACGGTCCAGGTCATCCACAGAGCGGGAGCGGGGGCGCCGAGCTGGGGGCAAGAGGCGCCGGCTCTCACTGCCCTCTTCCTCCAGGTCACTGAGAGGGGACAGGGGGCGCCCATGGGCAGCATGGCGGTGGGCGTCCTCATGCAGGGAACTGATCTCGCTCATGACTGAGGCTGGGGGTGGGGAGGAAAACAGGAAGACAAGGGGTTAAACAGGGCAGGGGGCACCAGGGGGTGCCACATGGTGGCCAATAGGGGATGCCAGGGCTGCATTAGCTCAACTGGGGGCTGCAGTGCCCAATAGGGACCAGTAGGGGGCACTAGACCTGCTACAATTCCTATGGGGGCCACTGGGTCACTTCTAGGGGCTGTTATAACTGGGGGGGCACTAGTGGGCACCATGCAGCAGCCAATGGGCACCCCCCAGGAGGCACCAGGGTGGTATAGCCCAACTGGGGGCCGCAATGGCTACCAGGGGCCACTAGACCCATTGCCATGTCCCCTCTGGGGGCTGTTATGGCTAGGGGAGGCACATGGGGACACTGTGCATTGGCCAATGGAAACCCCCCATGGTGGCATCAGCCCAGCTGGAGGCTGCAGTGGCCAATGGGAGCCACTAGGGGGCATCAGACCCATTGAGGGGAAAAATAAATAAATAAATTGCTGAGGGGCACGTGGCGCTGCATGGCGCTCCTTGGGGAGCAGGCATTCACCCTTTTCGAGCCGGCTATTGCCTGGGCCAGGATGCGTGGCATCGAAGTTGGCCAGCTCCTTCTCCATGTAGTACAGCACCCGCATGGAGTCGTCCTGCTGGTTGGCCTGGATGCGGTACCCGCTGCGCAGCCCTGGGGGGGCAGATGCGGCCAGTTTTGGGGTGCGGCAGCTACATAGAAGGGCCCTTTTACCGCCTCCCCTCCCTTCCACCCAGGCCTGATTTGCCTCCAGCAAGTTGTCTCATGCCAGCCCGTCTCCTATTTGCCCACCAGCCAGGCCAGACCCTGCTTAGTTTCCCACCTTCTCCCACCACCCAGTGAGAGGGCTGGGAGCCATGTGTGATTGACAGCTACCCGTCAACACTGTACCTGAGCTCCCGGCGCTATGGGAGTCCTGCAGCAAAGGCACCTGGGAGCTGTGGCCGCCGACTGAGAGGAAACCACAGGATTAACAGAGGGTCCTGGCAGGCGTACGGGACCCGCTTTGGGTCAAACAGGGGAACCGAGGCACGAGGGCAGGAAGAGGACTTGAAGCAGCGTACCTGAGCTGGCGCGGTCATAGTCGGCCCCGTAGCCATTGTAGACAGGCCCCATGGGGATGAGAGTCGGGGGTGGCCCTGGCTTGAGGGCACCAGAGGGGCCGTAGAGGCTGGGTGCATAGGCACTTGGCGCGTAGATGCTGGGCACCCCTGAGGTGGCCGCCTTGCCTGCTGCATAGACTGGTGGGGCAGAGGGAGGGGGTAGATGGGTGTCTGGGAGAGAACCCAGGTGTCCGGGTGGTTGGGTTCCCCCCACACTGTTCAGACCCTACTGGGATACAACCCAGGCATCCAGGCTTCCATCTCAACCACCAAACCCTCACTACCTTCAAAGAGTTTGAAAAGAACCTGGGTGACCAGGCTCCCCAGCTCTGGGATACAACCCAGGCAACCCCTCCTCCACACTCCCCACCCGCCCGGCACCGAGACAAAACCCAGTAGTCTGGGTTCCCCCCCCGTACTCACGGGCCTCGGGGCAGCAGCAGCGCTGGGGGCAGCAGGGGCAGCGCACGTAGCAGCAGCAGGTGTGGGGGCAGCACTGGCACCAGCACACACCCAGTGCCAGCACCAGTACCAGTGCACCCAGTGCCACTAACACCACAAACAGCCAATCTAGAGGGAACATGTTATACTGCAGCGCCCCATCCCAGAGCCGGCTGCAGCTCGGCCCCCACAGTGCTCGCGGGGGGCGGGGGAAAAGACGGACTGAGGCACCAGGCTTTGCACTCTATTCTCCTCCCCACAGGCAGCCCTGCCTCTCTGTTTTCTCCCTACTTGTGGGGGGTGCTGAAGTGAGAGTAAAGGGTGGGGCAGGGGGCTGAGAGCAGAGGAGTTGGGGCCCAGACACCTGGGTTCTCTGGGGTGGGGAGGGACCAAGGAGCCCAAACCCCCCAGACAGTAAGAGCCAAAGGTGGTGGGTACCTTGTAGGGGCCCTATCTCAATGCCTGGCAAGAGCTCGGAGGCCTTGGCTGACCAGCCTGCGACAGAGAGAGGGGGGTTCTGAAGGTGCAGAAAGAACCCAGGCATCTGGGCTCCCCCACTTTCACCCCCAGCCCCCCTCCTCTCCAAGAACCCAGGCATTGGGGCTCCCTTGCTTAGCCATGCCCCCCAAGAACAGCAAAAAACCCAGGCATCCACTCCGCCCACCCAACACCCAGGGGACAAACAGGGTGCCCTCTGGGGGTGGGAGGCTGCCAAGCAGGGGTGAGTGGGGGAGGGCATTAGGCTGGTACTGCTGAGTCAGCAGCTCCTGCTCAGGGCAGACGCTGAGTCAGTGAGTCCCAATATACCCACCTCCCAGGGGAAGGGGGGGGCCAATGCAGCTGCCACCCCACAACAGAGGCTTCTGGGTAAACAAACTCCCCACTAGGAAGGAGTTACGTGATTGGCCAGGAGCTGAAGGAGCCCATTTTTAGGTCTGTGCCTCAGTTTCCCTAACGTAGCTGCGAGCGGCCTGGGGAGAACTCTATTAATTGTCATACTAATTACTAATGAGACCCCTAACAATGGGAGCACCGGGAGGCCCCCAGTACAGCCCAGTTCAGACTGGCTGACAACTGGTTCAGCCCAGCATGTGCCCAGATCCAAGGCGGGCACTGATCTTGCTGTGGGGAGAAAGGGGCAGAGCTATGTGCTGCTAGGACCTCCCCCCTGCCCCCCTCAAGTCTGCTACCCTCCTGGAGAACCCAGGGGTCCAGGACCCGGCATCTGCCAGAGCAGGGATGGAACCCAGGTGTCCTGGTTCCCAGAATCCCCTTGAAACTCCGGGGGGGGGGGGGAGGGGGGGGGGGGGGGGGAAGTGTCTGGAATCCACCCCCCTCCCTGCAGGCAGAGTGGTCAGAGCCTGGTGGATGCCTGGGTTCTCTCCCTGCTGTGAGGAAGGGGGGGTTTGAAGGCGGGGCTTGCCAGATCGGGGTTCCGCAGGCCCTGCCCCCACTTACCCAGGACAATGAGCTCAGCATAGGCCTCGTTGTTGCCCTGGAGATCCTGCGATGATGTCACAGTGCAGTAGTAGACCCCGCTGTCGCCCCAAGCCGTCTGCTCGATGCTCAGGTCTGCGTCTGGGGGGCACAGGGGCATTAAGTGCCCAGACGCCAGGGTTCCATCCCCCCCTGCCCCCCAAGTCAGAACCCAGGCATCCAGGACACAGAGTGTGGGGGTCACCCTCTCAGGACCCTCTGGGCCCAGGCAGGATCAGGCAGGCCCACCAGCACCAGACCAGTGACATCACCAAAGCCCAGCCTGTCATTAACAGGCACTAATTATGCAAGGGAGGGAGGGGAATAATTAGCACAGGGGAAGGGGGTGCTCTGTGCCTCAGTTTCCCCACCTGGAATCATTGCCCACACCCCTTCCAAGAAGCTACTGTAATACACTTAATACACCCATTGTGTGTTGGGGGGGGGGGCGTGTCACTACCCTCCCATAGAGAGCCCTGGGCGCTGCCATAATGCATCTAATATACGAGTCTGCCCAGAACCCCTCTACCCGGCTTGAGATGGGGCACTGCCATAATACATCTAAGACAGGGGCACATAATTATTTCGGGCGGAGGGCCACTTACTGAGTTTTGGCAAGCCATTGAGGGCCACATGACAGGCCACCAGAGAGAATGGCCCAGCGGGCCACATCTGGCCCACAGGCCACATTTTGCCCACCCCTGACCTAGTATGCAAGTCCCCCGGGACCCCTCTACCTGGCTTGAGATGGGCTACGGGGCACTGCCATCATTCATCTATAGAGGGTCACTTTGTGCCTCAGTTTCCTCACCTGGAGTCAGTGACCCCTTGCCTCTCCCCCCTGGAGCAGATACCGTAATACATCTAATATACCCCCAAAAGTCACCACCTTGATCCCGCCCCGCCCAACCTGTACCTAGGGTAGGATCCCAACCTGTACCTTGGGTAGGATCCCAGACCCTACTGTAATACAGGTAGGGTAACCTGGATTCATGACCGGGACTAACTGCTATACCTGGCATTTATGCATTACCACAAAGCACCTAATATGCAGACAGACCAAATTGCTTTCCACCTGGCACACACCACCCTCCCCCTTCCTCTGGGCACTACCATAATATGCCTAACATGAGAGCACTCAAAAAGGCACAAAGGGGTTCTTTGGCCATTACCACAATATCTCTAATACAATGCAGGAGTATAATTGGGGGGGGGGGGGGGGGGAGCGCGGGGGAGATGAGTGGGGGGGGGGGGGGGTGCAGCCCTGGGCACTACTGTAATCCACCAAATAAGCGGCCCCTCCTCGTAGCACACTTGTGTGCTACCATAATGCACCCAATATGCAGGCAGTCCAAAGGGCCCTCCACTTGAGAAGGGGGTTTCTACCGTAATACACCTAATATATGAGCAGCTCCAAAAGCCCTCCCCACTGGGGGCACATACTGTTGGTGATGGTGATGCGCCGCCCCTGGTAGAAGTCACCCAGGGTGACTGTGTTGCCCTGCTTGGTGGCCACGACCCGCACAGTGCGGACGGTATCCTGGCACTCCACATAGGGGTTGTAGCCAGGGATGTTCTGCTGCAGCTGGTCGGTGAGCTGGCTCTCCTGGCTGCTGGGGTTGAAGGCATTGGCCAGGCGGCTGCGACAGTAGGATTTGTACTTCCAGGTGACAATGGGGGGCTGGGTGGCCGAGGTCTGGTAGCTGCACTGCAGGGTAGCTGGCTGGAAGAGGATCACCACATTGAAGGGGTTCAGCACTGTGACCTGTAGCCCACCGGCAGGGCCTGGAAGGAGGAATGGAAGGGGTTAATGGGAGGGGGAACAGGGTCACCAGGACAGCGACTAGGACCTAGCCCTCCCCAGCCTCACCCCACCCTCCATAAACCTCATGCCCCAAAATGGGGCCACTTCTGGTGTGGCCCAGCCAGGGGCAGCGCCCAATGGCCCACAATCCAGGTCATGACGTGAGCAATGTTCTCTCGAGGTACAGCACAGTTCACCTCCATGGGCGGAAAACCCAGGCCGCCTATTACCCCAGGAACCAGGGCCAGGACTCCTGGGTCCCCACCCTGGCAGGGGACAGGGTGGGGATGGGTCCTGGTTTCAGTGCCTTCCCTGGGCATTTGGGCTCCAAGGGGCAGGGAGATCCAGGGTGGAGAGGAGGGCTAGCCCTGCCCTTCCTCCGTCCTTCCTTCCTTCCTGGCTTTTGTCGGTCTGTCCCGGCAGGGCAGGAAATGATTCACCTCCCTCCCCCCAACCCCAAGAGAGTTTCTTTAGGCCCTGGGCTCCAGGATTGGGGTGCCCAGTCTGTGCCCCGGGGTCAGGCAGGACCCCCCCACGCTGTTACCTCACAGGGGGTGGGAGGCTCCCAGAGGCCCTGAAACCCGGGCCCGTGAGAAAGGTGAGGGCCAGGACAGGAGCCACTCTGGGGCCCTGCCCATGCCGCGGCGCGTGGCCCGGGCAGGGGAGCGGCCGGGCAGGGAAGCAGGGGCAGGACTGGGGAGAGCCGTGGGGTACTAGGCCCCAGCCCTGACGGTGCCCCCCACCCCA